TTTTTTTGTGGAACTGGGGATTGAACTCAGGCCCTTGCGCTTCCTCTTAGTTTTTTAAAAAAATCTTTTATTTATTTGGTACTAAGTCTTGTTATGCAGCTCAGACTCTCGAAGTGAGCCTTCTGTGTCAGCCTCCCAAGCACTGGGATTATAGGGGTGTGCTAGCACGCCTAGTTTCAGTGGCCAGCATGGAGTGCCCAGGGCTGGCACTGGACCAAACCTGAGTCCTTGTACTTGGCAGGCAGGTGCTTAGACCACCGAGCGGTATCTCCCCAGCCTCCTCTCTCCCTCTTGATGCTCTGCAAGTATAGATCCTTGGAAATTCTACCTTTATCCGTTTTTTTTTTTTTTTTTTTTTTTTTTTTCTGAATAACTTTTTATTGCTGTTTGTTGCTGATTTTTCTTCTAAAAAAGATCAGTTTTCACTTTTTTTGGTGGAACCGGGGACTGAACTCAGGCCCTTGCGCTTGCCAGGGAAGCGCTTATTCCACTGAGCCATCTCCCCGGCCCCTCTACCTTTATCCTTAATCCTCTCCCTTCTGTTAGTGAGTGTCCTGAAACTCATCTCTAAAACCTGTGACCTTTAGACAGAGAGGAAACCACGGAACGAGAAGGGACTCTGTCACTACATTATCAGTCACCGATATATCTCCCACAGACTGAAAACATGCCTGAGACCACAAGTGTTATTCTGAAACATGTGCTCTGCTTTTGTGAATGTAATGCAGAATAATTTAAAATACCGTAAAATCCAATTTTTGATTGATATGTGTTCAGTTAAAGGGCACTCCATGTTGCTGTTTCATGAAATCACATGGAAATTTTGCCATTAAAGGCACAATCCTCATTGGGTTCCTACCTCAAACCACACACACACACACACACACACACACACGTTTTTTTGAGACAGGGTCTCTCTGTGTAGTACAAGCTATCTTGAACTCGCTTACATAGTCTCCAGGCTGGCCTCGAACTCATAGTGATCTGCCTCAGTCTCCCAAGTGCTTGGGATTACAGGCATGTAGCACCATGCCCTGCCATGCACAAAAATTAACTCAAAATGAGGGCCAGCCAAATAGCTCAGCAGATTAGGGGCCAGGGTTTCGATCCTGGGGCCTGTAGTGCTGGCCCCGCCCCTGGAGTACACTGAGGTGGCAACTGAGACTGGGCATGGCGCGCGCCTGTGATCCCAGCTCTTGGGAGGCTGTAAACAGGCGGATCACTATGAGTCCAATCTAGTAGTGAGAACACCCTGTACACCCTTCCCTAAAATACAAAAAAAAAAAAAGCAAGAAAGAAGTCAGACACAAAACAAAATACACAATTCCATTTAGAAGAGATATTAAGAAGAGGTAAATTTACACAAACAGAAAACAGACTAGTGGTTGTCAGGACTACAGGAGTTTTGTTTTAAAGTGAGGAAAGTGTCCTAAAAGCAAGTAAGAGGCACTGGTAGACAGTTCATAATTAACTGAATTGGGGCTGGGGAGATGGCTCAGTGGAATAAGTGCTTCCCTGGCAAGCACAAGGACCTGAGTTCAATCCCCAGTTCTGCAAAATAAAAATAAAATAAAATAATAATAATAATAATTAACTGAATTGGAAGTGGCCTGTATGTTCTCATCAGCAGAGCACTGGATTAAAAAATGTGTTATATACACACAATGGAGTACTACTCGGCCATCAAGGACAGTGAGGCAATTCTGCAGGAAAATGGCTGTGTCCTGAGACTAACATTAGGTAAAATAAATCAGACACACCAAGCTTAAATATTACATTTCTCTTATGCAAGAAACCCAAAATGTGAAAAGTAAAATAAAAGATCAATAATAGAAAGTAGAGAGAGGGATCCTTTTTTAAGTAGGAGGGGACAGGGAGGAAGGGAGGGGAGGGGTGAGGTCAGAACTGAGGCGTGTTGCAGGTGTGCACCAACTCCACAGTGGAGTGCACACACTGAGCACTGCACACATGTGCTAACAAAAAATAAAAACTGGAAAAAAATACATTCTGGAAAAAAAAAAGTGGTCCCTAAACGCCAATAAACAGCTCATTCTAATATGGTTTATTATATATTATATAAATTTCACCTCAATTTTTAAAAAAAAAAAAAAGACTATAGTTTTAAGATCACAGGGGCTGGGGAGATGGCTCAGTGGAATAAGTGCTTCTCTGGCGAGCATAAGGGCCTGAGTTCAATCCCCAGTTCCAAAAAAAAAAAAAAAAAAAATCACAGTAATTTTAAAAGCTGAGGGAGTCAGCTATTTTTTTCTCTACAGTTGAACTCAGGCCCTTGCGCTTGCCAGGGAAGCGCTTATTCCACTGAGCCATCTCCTCAGTCCTTTTTTCCTTTTTAAAACAAATTCTTCTCATTTTTTTACTTTTGGGGAACTGGGGATAGAATTCAAGGCCTTGCACAGAATTCTTGTTCTGAAGCTTAATTTCTGAAATATAAAGTACTCTTTAGAAAAGGAAATTAAATGGCAAAGCTCCTAAAAGATCTTGAAAATAACACATGAAAGGGAAATAAATGTCCCTCCCACTTGCCATTTACTCAACACAAGTTCATGAAGCCGCACCATGAGTCAGGAAGCAGGGGTGCGGAGGAAGCACTGTAACTGAGCGGCCAGGCGTCAGGGCTTCATGGCAGCGAGGGCGCAGAGGCCGGCCGCCTGCACTCACAGATCTGCTCCTGTGCTCATGACACAGGGGCTCCCCACAGCAAGCAGACCGCAACAGGTAGAGCAGGGACCCCATGTTTTCCATATGGATATAGGGGGAACTCATCACACTGATTAGGGACACACATGTATAGTGACACAAAGATGTCCAAATGACAAATGTAATGGGAGAATTTTTATTAGATTTTAAAAAAAGGGGGGGGGGAGGCTAGGGAGATGGCTCAGTGGAATAAGCGCTTCCCTGGCAAGCGCAAGGGCCTGAGTTCAATCCCCGCTTCTGCCAAAAAAAAAAAAAAGTATTGCTCAATAAAAGAGTCAGGCACAGTGATGCACTCCTATAATCCCAGCACGCAGGATGCTGAAATAGGCTGACAGCTGCAAGTCCTAGGCCAGCCTGGGCCACCTAGTAAGGCCAAAGCCAGGCTGAATGGCAACGCCTTGTCACAAACCACCCCTGAAAAAAGAAAAAGAAATATGAAAGCCATAGTGCTTGCCCTAAAAGAAAAAGTATCTAGTGGAGAATCACAGAAGTAAAGGCTGTTTCGAGACACTGGGAAAAGACACTTAATCCAGGCAGGGGGCAGGGAAGAGTGGCAATGATGTCAGTTTCTTTTATTAAGTGACTTAAGGAGAACCTGGCTCAAGGAGGACATTTATTAAACAA